CATCAAAACTGAAACTGAGTGCAAAGGCAGTGTTCATTTATTGCAGGATGACCTGCCACTTGAGAGCAGTTCTGTGCTACAGAAAATGGATGTTTCTGCCACGGACATTTGTAAACAAAACTGATGCATACTTCTGCTTGGTGGAAGGAAAGGTGGTGACTCAGGGACCTACTTTTAAGCAGCCTTAGTTCAGCTCCTAATGGAGAATCATTGAATCTCTGCTATGGGAGAACTGCCGACCTTTCAAGCTTTCTTTATCCCCACAGTGGAAGGTCAGAAGAGGTGGCAAGGCACAGCGCCCGCATCGCTCATGTCTGGACTAGCCAGCCTCCTGCAGCAATAGTAACTCTCTTCTGTCCTGCTTTGCAGACAGATTCTGGCTTTTTTCTCTTTCCTGATCAGTGCCAACAAGCCAGGCATGACTACAGAATGCAAATCCTGCCCTGACCTGGATTCACAGGAAATAGTTTGGGTTCCTGTACAAATAGCACTGCCCCTTGCCTCCTGAAACTGGAGGGATGCACACACAAATACAGCGCACAAACACAAGTTAGCACAGGCTTTTGTTTTTCAATCTGTGAATCCTTTTGGTCTGACACCAGGGGTGCCTATTTCTGGAAGAAAAACAGACTCAGCAAAGTTTTGCATTTTCCTGAGCAGTTTCCTAATGGTTTTAAACAGGTGTTAGGGCACTACTGTGATAGAGATGGTCTTTCACCATCTCATTCACATTCTGACTAGGTGCATACAGCCATTAGGATCTGTATAAAGAAAAAGGAAAAGAAAGAGTTCAGGTCTGCTATTACAGACTCAGAAATGGTGCGCATTGCCCTCAAGAACCACAAACTTCCAGCTGAAAAGCTGGGACTTGACGTGAGTCTCCATGTTATTTTGCAAAGCTAGGAACATTACCAGGAGGGCTGCAACATCTCATTTCTGCACAATCCCATTTCTGCCTGTGCTCCCTGTCTCTTGAACTCATGTCTTTCGTCTGCCCTGACGATGTCAGCCACCTCTCCTCCTATGGACTGTTTAGGAGGACTGACAGAGTCCATGGGAAGTTACAATTCCAGCAGTGGAACTGATTCACTTTCCTATGTACCCGTTGTCCAACAGGAACAACTCATGTAAAATAATCTCCTGTTAATAAAAAACCACGGGTTCCACTGAGGTAAGCTGTCTGTGATGAGATAAACACACGTTATAGGAACTCTGGCAAAAATTCTGTGTAGACCCAACCTACTTAATACTGAATTGCTTTGCCATAGTACATTGCTTCTGCTAAATAAATAAAAGCCAGGTTTTGCTCACAGATACATAACGCAAACATTCATGTGTGCTGTTACATCAGGCTAAGAAGTAAAGCTGACAGTTACAAATATATACATCTAGAATTGCTTGGATTTAACACATAGTATAACTCACCAGCAAAAACAACCCCCTAGTGTTTTGTCCTAGATACGCGTTGCAATTTATTTCTAATACTTGTTTTTTGCTTCACAAATCTTTAGAATACATCTCGTCCAGTTTTATTTCTGCCTCCTGCTACTATGCAAACAAAAACAAATGTACTAAAACATGTAACAGCCTAACACAAGAAACGTGCAAAAGGGAGAAACTTACTGTGTACATGAATGATCTAAGATTCCTTCTGCTAAAAATGGTCCCAGGCATTTTGCCAGCTAAGGCAGTCGCCATGCATGAGAAACTCAGTACTACACAGTGTGTGTTCCAGAAAGAAAGCAGCCAACTGTATAAGAGAGCATAAAGGACCACATGACTGTCATACGAATATCCTCACACAGTATTAATCCAGTTTCTTTGTGTTTGTTATTTGGCAGTAGTCTTATTTTACCAACTTTCTTGTACGTGGAGCCCTAAGTAAGAATGAGGCTTGGAAAAACGTACTTAAAAACTGTCCCAAATGCCTTGCACACTTGAGGAGAACATTGTGAGAGGATTCTGTCATTTGTTTTCAATACTGCTTACTTGTTTGCATAGATCTTCCTTCAGAGTGAGGACTTAATAAGGAAAGCAATTAAAGGGGGACAAAAGTGCTTGCAGAGGCAGCAAAAGATGAAAAACTTGGCACATCTCTGTGAGGGTGAGAACAAAGCCAACTTCATGACATGGCTCATTTAATTTCTCTGGCACGTTGGCCACGTGAATTTCTCCGGTCAGGACTTTACATAGCATTCTCAGCGATGCAGTAGGAACATTGCAGAGAGCTCAGCACTGCTTTGCTGTTGTTACTGGCAATATCTTAAAAGCTTGCACACAGTATCTTCTGATACACATGCATGAAAGTTGTGAAGTGATGACATTCCAGTTAGGCTGTGCTGGACAATCACACATTAAAGGTATCCTCCACAGTACATAGGGCTGTTGTACAATCAGTGAATGTACAGATGTTATAGTTATGAGGTATACCAGAGAGCTTGGCTACGTAGTTATTACAGCAAAGCAGAAAAGAAAGGACTCTTACCTGTATCCTGGGCTCACTCATGAAACTCCAGTGGAGCAGATCTCCAGAAAAGATCCTTCCCCCCTGGCAGTCAGCTCTTAAATGGGTTTAGGAGAGGTGGATCCAGGCTCCATCTCTTCCAGTAGCACAGGTGAATTGCCTTCACCTGTGCTCCCATGGCTGACTCATTGCTAGCCTCAGGTGATCAATCAGAGGTTCAGGTCGTGATTCAGCAGTTCCCATACAGCTGTCAACACCAGTTTTCACACTGCTCACATCAAAGGCAGAATATGCTATGACTAAAAAAAACCAAACTAACAAAACCACTTTGAATGTATTAATACATCTTTTTTAAATTACTACTGAACAGACTACAGAAAAAAACAAAACTAAGATGGTCAACAGGCTGGAGAGCCTCTCCTGTGAGTAGAGGCTGAGAGAGCTGAGGCTGCTCAGCTGGAGGAGGCTCTGGAGGATCTCATTAATGTCTGTAAATCCCTGAGGGAAGGTGCCAAGAGGTCAGAGCTCTGTGAATAACAGAACAAAACAACAGAAGCACTTCTGTACTGTGTGCATGATGGAGTACTGGCACAGGAAACAAAGCATTCCAAAAGCTTATAAAATACAAAGGAAGAACTGCAGAAGAACAGAAGTACTACTGCGTTGTCAAGCAAAACATATTTCAGCTGCAAATACAAGTCTGATGTAGTTGTGCCAGGGCTGGAAGAGATTTCAAAATTGTTACTTGAATTTTACAGTTTGTGCCTGTAGCAACTTAGTTTCATAGAATCATAGAATGGCCTGGGTTGAAAAGGACCACAATGATCATCTAGTTTCAACCTCCCTACTATGTACAGGGTCAATATCCATTAGTTTTCCTCCTACCAGCACTTTGCAAGTTGGTTTTTGTCAGTGTATATTTTCTCTCCACTCCACAAAGATTGTAGCTTGAGAAGTGATTGACAAGAGACCATAATCTCTGTGATTCTTTTATTATTATTCTCATTAGCCAGAGAGAACCAAGAGGAAGCTCCAAAGAAAGGATTTAGATGCCTGTATCGGGACTTCAGCAGTTTCTATGAAGAAAAACACATCTGAACCAGGGAAGTAGTGGTTACAAGGAGATTCCAGGCAGAAACAATGCAGCTGTTCTTCACAGCCCTTTGCACCTAGTCTATGTCTTTCAAAGAACTGTTTCTCTGCTTAGCATTGTAAGGATCTGGAAAAGTTGTATCAGAATATCTTTTCAAAGAAGAAATTCAACCCGAGATTCATAGGTTCTGAGGGAGTAGCCATTAGCTCCTTTTCAAGTCAGTGATGCACAAATCTCATCAACTAAAATAGACCAGACTTGTCCCCTAGAAAAGCTGTGCCTCTTCTCTGCACCCAGACAGTCAGCTTGATGACACAAGAGAGGTGTCTTCAGCTAAGAGACATCAACCTAGCACAGATCCCTTCTGCAAACATCTCATGCTTCTCAGGCAATTGGTCTGTTGGGGAAGCAGACCAGTTCTTCTGCTAGAACAGAGGGAGAAGAAATAGTGCCAGTTGCACACAACTTAGGAAAACAGCTGGATCAGAAATTAAACGCTAGATTACATTTGCTGGACTTCCCAACAGAACTGTTCCAATGTAACTGCTCGCCTAATGGCAGAGATGCTGTCATAAAAGTTACGGTCAGTTGTACTTGAGACAGTGATGAATACTTTAACAAAATCTTCAGTAACATGATTAATAGAATGCTAACTTCCACAGCTTGACAGAGTTCCATTCTCATTCCATATCTGAAAAAGAATCACAGAATTGTAGGGTTTGAAGGGACCTCAGAGATCATTGAATCCAGGCTCCCTATAGCAAGCTGCACAGGTAGGCAGTCAGGTTGGTCTGGAATATCTTCACAGAAGGAGACTCCACAACCTCTCTGGACAGCCTGTTCCAGAGCTCTGCCACCCTCAATATAAAAAAGTTCTTCCACATGTTTTTATGTTACTTCCTATGTTCAGATTTTAGGCAACTGCTCCATGCCCTATCATTATACACCACTAAGAAGAGCCTAGCCTCATCCATTGGCCAGTCCGCAGTCATTACTCTCTGATTTCCTCCTGCTCTCAGTACAGGAGAGACTTCATCCCTCTGTTTTGGGTTTAGCAATGGCCAAACTAAGGCCATTCTTCAACACCATCTTCTGCTAAGGCCCGGGGTAACATTCTCAAGCATCCCACCAGCCTCACGACTTTTGGACTCACCAAGGGCTATGATATGAAAAAGACTGCTCTGGCCTCAATCGTGCTGAGAGATCACAAGTCAGTGCATGAATTCCTCAGAAGAGGAAAATCATTCCCTCAAAATGAAAGAAAAAAAATAAAAGCACGAGCAGATCGCACACGCAGCCACACACCCGCTCACAAAACACCCAACCCTACCCTGCTCCCTCAGAAGGGGCCGCTCCCACTCCTTGTTCCCGCCCATTCTTGTTCCCGCTCATTCCTATCCCCGCCGTCCATCTCCGTCGAGAGCCAATGACAGAGAGGCAATGCCTGGTTGGTCCCGCCCCCAAGCGGAGGGCGCTTCCGGCGGAAGGAGGGGCGGCGGCGCGCAAGATGGTGGCGGGTGGGCTGTGCATCTGCGGGCTGTTCAGGTACGGGGCGGACGGGTGGGGGCGGCCCCGCGCCCCACGGCCCTGCCGAGCCCGAGAAGGGAAGGGGAAACTGCTGGCCCAGCTCTGCCCTGACCGGCTGCGGAGCTTCGGAAGGCAGAGCGGGCAGGAGCTGGGCTGAAGGAGGGCCCTGAACATCTGTTGAGGATTCTCTGTGCGCCTTGTGCTGTGCCACGCTGCTGCGGGCGCGCGGCCTTTGGAGTATATGTGACACGTTGAAATAGAGCGGGTGATATTTATGTAGTGTGATAACGCAAACATAAATAATGTCAATAAACCATCACTGACATCTGTAAAAAAAATTGCTGAACAACGTAGAATAGTGGTTTTTGAATGTAATTATTGAAATGGAGCAGTGATGCTGATAATTTCAGCGGTTAGAAGAACTCAAGAAGTTGTCTGGCACCCTCTGGCTCTACCCTTACACCCTTCTGTATGGATTTCACATGTAGTGTTTCCTTAAATCAGCTTTATATTTTACAATTTCCACCTTGTTTCAGATTCCTGTGTTCGTTGTTAATCCCTGCATTGTTTCTAAGTGGAGTTCTGTGCACCTGCTTGGCCGTCCTGCTGTGTGGAATAAGGCTCTGGATACAAGGAAGGAGAAAGCAGCAGAACCTGGCAGGAAGGGATGGGAGGCAGCCACTGCTGGTTGCGTTTTTTCATCCCTATTGCAACGCAGGTGGTGGAGGAGAGAGAGTCTTGTGGTGTGCCATAAGAACGCTCCAGAAAAAGTAAGCACATCTGTTTGTCAGGTGATACCATATTTTGCTCTGTTTCTCATGATATCATTTATGCTAATGATGACATTTTGCACATTTGAATAGATATCATTGATATGCGGGTCCTACATTTCACCTTTCTTCTTCAGCCCATTACCCACATTCTGTTCCATCCTCTGTCTCCTTCATAGCTGTGGCACCTGTCAGTTCTTTCCTCCTTGGCAGAATCTGTCCTCCATCAGTTTTGCAGCACTCATAGGGAGCTTTTAGGGTCATAACTTGTATGTAGGTAACTGATGATCTAGTCTCAGTAATGGCCTCTTAGTGCAGGAGACTGAGTTAATACATAAAGTGATTCAACATTGGCACGTCCACTGGCTTGCACAGTCTTTTGCATTTCACTCATGCTGTACACTGGATGGACATTCTAGCATGCTGCAAGGCATTCCTAAACCTGTTGATTAAAACTGAGATCCTTTCTTTACAAAAAAATTCCTGGTCCCCAGCTTTTACTTTAAAAAAAAAAAAAAGTGTAAGGGAAAGAATTCCTATAATCAATTTAGTTACATGTAAGTTGTTCCAGAGGTAGGCCAGACATTTGATTTAGAACATATGTTTTAGTAAATTTTGAGTGGATAATGTTTGAGTTTTGTGTTAGAAAATTTGATGAGAAGAATGAGCGAAATTCTCTTCTCTTCCAGGTACAAGAATGTAATGTGTGTTGTTTACACTGGTGATAGAGATGCCACTGAAGAAGACATAGTAGAAGGTGCTTTCAGAAGGTTCAACATTAAATTAACTCATCCTGTGAAGTTTGTATTTCTGGAAAAACGCTATCTTGTGGAAGCTTCTCTTTATCCTCGCTTCACTTTGCTGGGACAAAGTTTAGGCTCCGTGTTTCTCGGTTGGGAAGCTCTTCTCAAGTGTGTTCCAGATATTTACATTGACTCGATGGGTTATGCTTTTACGCTGCCCCTCTTTAAATATTTAGGAGGTTGTCGTGTTGGATGCTATGTCCATTATCCCACCATCAGCACCGATATGCTTTCTGTTGTTAGGAATCAGGATACCAGGTTTAACAATGCGGCTTTCATTACAAACAATCCTCTCTTCAGCAAACTGAAACTTGTCTACTACTACTTGTTTGCCTTCATGTACGGATCGGTGGGTTACTGCAGCGACGTGGTTATGGTCAATTCTTCCTGGACACTAAATCACATTCTTTCCCTCTGGAGAACTGGGGCTTGCACTAGCATTGTGTATCCACCATGTGATGTTCAGTCCTTCCTGGATATCCCACTGGAAGAGGAAAAGAACAGTGCTGAATATTCTATTGTTTCTGTCAGCCAATTCAGGCCTGAAAAAGATCATCCTTTGCAAATCCGAGCCTTTGCTAAGTTGCTGAAAGAGAAGAGACTGAGGCAGCAGCTCTCATTGAAGCTTATTTTAATTGGAGGCTGTCGGAACCAGCAAGATGAAGACCGTGTGAATAACCTTAAATGTCTTTGTGAAGAGCTTGGAGTTAGTAACAGTGTGATGTTCAGAATAAATATTCCCTTTGAGGAGTTAAAGAAACACCTGGCCGAGGCCACCATTGGCCTGCATACAATGTGGAATGAGCACTTTGGCATCGGTCAGTATCCCTCCTCAGCTTTCAGCTGCTTGTCTCAGTGATCAGAAAGCAGATGAGGAGGGCTTCAGTTTGTGTTTGAACCTAAGAGGTCTGCATGCCAAGCAGGTGACCAAGTCCTGTTCTTGGCAATGGTGATCTAACAGGTAGAACCTTCAAGACCAGTTCAGATGTCAGATCACTAGGTGCTGCTGTAGTGCAAGCTGGATTGTTGTAAACATCGCAGACTGCATTATGGGCATCCTCTAGTCACTTAGACAACAAATGCCATCTGTTTAGGATGTCCTGCCTGACATTCAGCTATTACTCTGCAAGCACAAAGTCCCTGCAGCTGAAGGCCTGTGTTACATGTGTCAGACTTACACAGATGCCTTCTGTTCCCTGCATAGCCTATGCTGAAGCAACTTAGTGCTCTCTTGGCTCCACTGACTGCAAGGGGAGTTTAGACACTTAGACCTAGCTCACATGCAGAGAGATTTTGAATGTTCCATCTGCTTAACTGCTATTTGAAATGCCTAATATGTGTCAGAGGGCTCTAGCTGCTGTTTTGGAGGTGAGTTTCTCGGAGTTTCTCAGAGATAAAATACATATTTTATATATAAATATATAGGCCATCTCACTTCATTAGATGCCTGTGCTAACATCAGTCCTAAAATCAGTCATTGTGGTGTGAAGCTGAATCTCAAAGAGGGGCTGAGACGTGGTTTGCAGTGTGCTGCCATGCAGAATTAAGGTATTGGGCACAGTGTATTGGGATTAGTTGGGTCTTCCTGTCTTCCCTGAAAGGGAATGTAAGATTGCCTGCACCGTACAGCTACAATATGGTAAGGCTGGAGGAAAACAGAGGGTTACTGAGCTTGGCTATGAAGTGACCAAGCTGAAGTTAATGTCATCAGACTTTATTAGAATGAGAGCTTGTGAGAGCATTTAGTCCATGTTTTTCACACTTATCTAGAACTCCAGTCTATATTAATTTATAATTCCAGGTGAATTTTATTACGGATTTAAATTTCCAGTGAACTATTGAAAGCCAAAGCATGCGATGTACACATTCATGTCATGTTTTGTCTTTTACAGGAGTGGTTGAATGCATGGCAGCTGGCACAGTTATCCTGGCTCACAATTCCGGTGGCCCCAAACTGGATATTGTGGTACCCTATGAAGGACGTATGACAGGCTTCCTAGCAGAGAACGAGGACAGTTACGCCGAGACAATGGCTCACATCTTTTCCATGTCTCCTGAAGAAAGGTTAGAGATCAGAGAAAGTGCTCGCCAGTCTGTGTGCAGGTTTTCTGACCAGCGTTTTGAAGAGACATTCCTCTTATCTGTGGAGCCCTTATTTAAATGAATGTGAACAAAAATGCATAGGAATAAAACTCGCTGTGTTGGACCCCGTGTCACCTGTAAATACGTGTAATTTATGGTCCCTTGCTCCCATTCAATAAAGAGATCTTTCTTTTTTCTGTCGGTATGTGTTTTATGTAATAGAGAGAGTTTACTGGGAAATAAATACTCTCTTGTATTTCTGATGAAAATTCTATATTCTTAATGTGCAGAATCCTTCCTAGAACACTGTGTTTCATGTTTTTACAGATAGGTGCATATATATGTATATATGTTTCTTCCATTGGTAAAGTTAAGTACTCCAACAACATGAGAAGAAAAATGTAGTTACGTTTAATGAAGAAAAATGTAAGCAGCTGTTTCTCATATAGTCTTGGTGATTTCATTATCTATAGCAGTTCCTCTAATACAATTTGCTAGCTTGCTTTTTTAGTATCATAATTGTCAGTCCTTACATTAGCTCTTTCCTCACATCCTTTACAGTATGGCATAGTATTTCTCGTGTTCTATCCTACTGAAAGATTTTCTGTTCCTAGGAAATAGGAGGGCCTAAATTAGAGACCATAATTAGATAGCACACAAATACAAACCTCACAGCTCTAAGAGAGTGCTTATGACACTGAGAACTAAGTGAGCAAAAAGTTAAAATATGAAGCATCCGTTTTCACATCCAAACTGGAGAAACATTGTGGGGTTTTTTTGAGCCATCACAACAGTGTTTTAGGTTGTGCTGAGAACTACAAGAAAAGTGCAACAAGCTACTGAAATCAGACTTCAGAACATGTTTTTTTCTTCTATTTAAACTTCACCTGTACTGATGACATTTTGTATGTGAAAAAAATATGGTTGGAAAAACGCATGTTTAATCACTGGAAATTAATTAATTCACTGGAACCCTGTCCTAAGTTATTAGGAACTGGGGAATGCACAATTCTCATGGCACAGTAAGCCCACTTACTGCTGCTGTATAAGTTGAGTTGGAGGTGCAGTCAGCGCAGTATAAATGAAACTACATGAAATACTAAGGTGCACTGATGGTACTGAGGGGTTGTGAAAAGCTGGAAAAGCTTCTTAAAATGGGATATTGATTGATCTATGAAAATAAAATACATTGACTGGGAGACTTTCTGACATGATACAAAAATGGCTGCAGAGTATGCAGCCAGAAGTTGCCCAGGCAAGTGTCAGAGACGTCCCAGGTAGTTTACATTAATCAAGGAAAATGCATTACATACACAATTCTGGATTGGAGTTTTCCAACATGTAGTAATCCCAAAAGTAGCCTGTTATTTTTTTTCCTTTAAAAAATGTCAAGAAACATCTTAATTGTTTAACGCTATTGAAAAGCAATTGATTTACCTGGAATTTATTGACAGCTACCTGTTTTTTATCATTATTGTTTTACTGATGTAGTTCACATTTCCAGGACAATTTTGTTTTGAATCAGTAATCATTCTTGTGCATCACGTAGCTGTTGCTTGCTTTTTCCATTATTTGCATCTAAAGTAAGTGACCCGCAGTTACTTTCTAACTCATCATTAGATTTCTCAAGCAGTTTGCTAGGTAAGCTTGTGCTTTCTTCATGAGCTCGATCTTTATTTATTGAAAGCACAGAAGACTCTGTGCATCTCTCTGCTGAAGACGTTACTGCTTTTTCCAAAGCTGCTTCCAGCTCATGTCTCAGCTCATCTCCAGAGTCTGCAAAATTCCTGTAAATTAAGCAAGAAATTTGTATTCATTAAGTGTATGTTGTTACAAGTGTTTCTAGTTTCAGTGCCTTTGAGACTTTTTACAATGCTTTGTAAAGAATATACAAGCTACATAGAAAACCTAAGTTGTGTCTTCACCTCTTTTTGTGAGATCTTTTGCTATCTAAATGGGAACCAGCCATGTTAATACATAGGCCTAACGTTTTTAACATCAGCGTTAGCACTTGAAAATAAATTACAGAGTTGAAAGGTACATTAGCAGACTGTAAAACAAGTTTTCTTCAGTTATGAATTTAAAAGAATGGAGAAAAAGAGCTTCAGGCAATACATCCTGCCACTTCATGAAAACTTCATCGTATGAATTTGATTTCTGATGTGCTTGACTTACGTGTCTTCATCATCTGATCTTGGCTCAAGTCTGCCTTCATCAACAGCAACACAGGCACACGTTTCTGAATCATCTTCCTTGCTTTCTTCTGAAGGCAACAAGGTTAATGTCTTTATTTCCATATTAGCTAGTTATAAAATAGTATCTAAAATAATAGCAAATAAATACAGCACTGAATACAGCACTGTCAGTACTGTGCTCAACCGACTTCAGTTATTCCTGATGGCATGTTTTAGTCAGCAGTTTATAACTTCAGCTCGGTAATCCAGCACGTTTGCAGACCACAACCAAAGGACTATAAAGGGTAAGTAAGAATGCAGATCTGATGTTGGGAGGTTAAGTACCAAATACAACAGCCTCTATTTGCAGTGGAAAACTTAGGAGAATACTGTGTGGGAAAGGCTGAAAATTACTGCTTGAATATAGTAGCTATGATTCACTGAAACTGCTCACTTTTAGAGACTGGAAGGCAACTTCAACCTGAAAAGTGGGAGAACAGTTCTAAGGGTTGTTTCAGTACACATGGGATGAATCCTGTGTGTAGTCCAACTGAAATCTGTCGGTTTGGGTAACAATGTATTCCACAATGACAACTTTTGTAGCAGGACAGAACTGCGTATTGAAGGAGGGTGGTATTTTAACATATAACTGCTCAAAGGAATAGCACTTAAGAATACCCACATGACCTTATTCTTGCTTTAGTTCTATGGGCTGCTGACATTAATGAAAAGGAAATGGCCACAGGTTGTATCAGAGGAGGTTTAGGTTGGACATAAGGAAGAACTTTTTCTCTCAGAGTGGTCAGGCACTGCAATGGCTGCCCAGGGAGGTGGTGGAGGCGCCGTCCCTGGCAGTGTTCAAGAGGCGCCTGGATGAGGAGCTGTGAGATTTGGTTTAGTGCTTGTGGTAGCAGAGGTGATGGGAGGATGGTTGGACCAGATGATCTTGCAGGTCCTTTCCAACCTTGCGAGTCTATGAAAAGTGATTTGCTTTTATTTTTTTTATGTGTAAGCTTTAAAGCCAGTTTCCAGAAAGGTAATTCAGCCTCATTAAGCCTTCAGGATGGAGCAGTTTTTCAAAAGCTTGTTATTCCATTGGAGCATGTATGGGATGCATAATTAGCAAGAGAGTGCTGTCTGCACTGCTGTGAATGAAAGATATTTCTCACGATCCATTAAAAATATTGAAATTTGGTGCATGCCATTTATTTGGCTTCCTTTTATTCCAATTAAACATTCAGTAGACTGGCAACTCTGTGTAAAACGACACCATTTGGTTACATTTATCTTTCTGTAGAAAATTCTCTGCCTTTTAGCTACGTGCTGATGCATAGAAAATGTCATTTTTAAAGCAGCCTCTTACTTTAGAGAAATGTGCTGCAGCATAAGTGAGTTGAAATCAGTTTCAGCATCAGCAGTATCAGCATGGACTATGTAAAGCCGCTCACCAGCCATTATGTACTACAATTTATAGCTGTTTCACAGAAATACATGTATTTGCACAGATTTGTAGATTTTTTACAAGGTTCTTCAATCTCAACTGCTGCAGAGGCTAATTCCAGGTTTGTGCTATCTCCTGCCTTGTTGCAAGTAGTACCTTAACCTCATCTGCCCAGGTAAATGAAGAATTATATATAAAGTGATAGCTGGTAAGCAGGTTTTCCCACCTGCTGAAAACAGCTACATCCTGAAAGAGAACTTGCACTGCTGCAGGACAGAGCCAGAGCTGCTGGCAGAAGCTGCCAATGCTTTTCTCATTTGTCAATTGCTTCTAAATTTTCTAAAAGTACTGCTTCTTGTCCTCTGCCAGTAGCACAGTAACACAGTAACTGAAGAAAACCTTGTGTAATTTACAGTAACAGACATCCTACCTATTTCCTCTTTAAGCTGGATGAAGGAATCATTACAGAGCTCTGCTTTTGCTAAGATGTTCAGGAGCGTCCCTGGGGCTGTTTGTTTCCACTGCTTCCTGTTTTCTGTGATGTCTTCAGGCAGAATAACATGGTCAGCTGAAGAACAGGAAGGTTCTCAGGTCACTAAATCATGACTGTGGCTTTTCACCGCCTTTTGCCGGAATTAAACTAATTTTGACTCTAATTTCTTCCTTTTGTGCAACACTGGACAGTCTGGACTGTTTGTCACTAAAGATTTCTTAACACCAGTGTTTATGTTCAAGTAATAAGCATACTTGAATATCCTGGAATAAACGGGTAGAGCTTCACTGAGCAGTCCTTGTTCTCAGACATGTTGGTTTGGAGCTGAAAAGCTTCCGAAAAGTTCCTGTTTCTCTTGTTCCCTGTGCCCATCACCTACTGTGCAAGGAACAAGAAGTGGCACCCTAACAATATTTTGCTTTGTCTTGACTATCTATGCAAACTCCTCAGGTTGTTTCTGTGTATCTGGGGTGCTGGGAGATTGCAAGGATGCTGGACAAGTCCTTTGTTTACAGCACCCAGTCACTGAAGCTACCTTTCTGTCTGGGAATATATGCACGGGTACTGCAAGAAAGTAAACAAATCAGCTCTTCAGAAAAGGAAAACCACCACAATCACATCTGCGTAAGGATGCACTCGTGATGTGAATTAACACGAGTCTGTGGCATGGGAAACCAGAACACCACCACGCTCTTGGATGACTTTGGCCACAGACAGCCAGAGTTCTTTTGTATTATCAGCTCAATGCCTGAGAAAGCTGCGTTGATTCACTGCAGACTGGCAGCGAATTCCTCAGGTCACACAGTGATTCCTAAAACTGTGCTCTATTTATGAGCAGCAAAACATGATTGCAGTATTAGAGGGGAAAGCAATTCTTTCGTTCTGTGGTTTAACACATCCAATAACCTCAACTATTACAGTGTCCTTCCAATTAAAAGCCCGTTTGATCACGTGAATGTTCTGGTATGGAAAAGTTTGCAGAGGTATTTAAATGAGCAGTCTGGCTGAATTTTAGTAGCTCCCCACTTTAGCTCACTGAAAAGCATAAAAACTTTCTTACAAAGTTCATTTTCAGCCATAGTAGGACATACAGATACAGATGAAGTATCAATATTGGCTAAACATTTCAGTAGTGTCTGGGGTGTTCCAGCTTGCCAATGCTTTCT